AGTGAGCCTGCCCCTGCAGGTAGCAGGCAGGCAAGTAATGGTGCCCTTGAGGGACACAAAGGGAGTGTGGCAATGGGCTCTGGGGCTGACATAGCACAGCTGGGACACAGAGGGGTCAGAGGCACCTGAAAATCTCTATCTCTGTGGCAGCCCACATGGGATTGGCTGTTTAGGCTGGTGGGCTCTAATGGCTTGTGAGTCCTGAGCCCTCAAAGAAGGTGGGCTCCGTACCTGTCACACGATGGAGCGCAGCGCAGAAGGGTCATCACCACATCATGGGGCTGTGCAACTGTCATCTCCTGAAGGGTCTTGTCCAACCTGTCTTCATGAGACATATATGTTGTCTTTGTAAGCTGTTGGTGAATGTTCCTCACAATGGTTGGCACCTGGAGGAGATACAGCAGAGAACTGGAGTGTTGATAGAGTGAGGCATTTCAACAGCTTCCCATGAGAAATGCTTCCTTTTCTACCATATTGTGCTGGTCTGAACGTCTGTTGGATGGCCAGCAGACCCAGCTTGTGAGGGTTCACGTTTCATGGGGGACTCCAGCCCTGGTCACAAGTTACTTACTTTATTCAAATGGGAGCTGCCACTTCCCATGATAATATCCACTATGGCAGCACAATCCTCTGCTCTGCAGGAGCTGGAGGTTGCTGTGCCCTCAAGGACCATGGTGGTCTTGTCTTCATGATCAGTGGTCTTATGGAAGTCTGAAAACATCTAAGGGCAGGGAAGAGAAGGATGTCACATCCAGTGCTCTGACAGCTGTCCTCCACTAAGCAGAAACAGCAGCCTCATCCCAGGCATGGAAGTCTGTGGATACCTGTGTGCATCTGTAGAAGAGTCCATGGGTGTGCTCCTCCTCTGGCAGTTTCCCAAGTGGATCTGGCAAAACCCAAGCACAGTCAGAGCTTAGGGACTGCAGGAGAGGCTGGAGAACACAGTCAAGTCTTGCACTCCCCAGGTAGGGACAGTCCTGGGACAGGGAATAGTGGGGGCACCAACCCCTCTCTCTTCTGGCAGCAGCTTGGGGCTGAGGGTGCCTAGAGGATGGAGATGGATGCTGGGGGAATCAGCTCCACTCCCACTTCCCCTTGCTCCCTGGGGATGTCCACGGGGGATAGGATTGGGCTGCAGCCCTAGCCCTATGGCCCAGCTCAGCCACTTACCTGTCTGCAGTGGCTGGACTGCTTCCTCTTCTTCAGGCTGTTGTGCTTGGGCAGCCCCTCGGCCTTTCTCCTCCTCCTCCTCCTCCCCCTTCCCAACCCAGGCCAGCCAGGGCATACGGGGCAATTTTTCCGCCATCCCACTGAATTTTGCATCAGAAAAGCATGAAGTGGTTGTACAGGGGCTCCTTGCAGCGCCCCTTTGTCCTGTCCTGTCTTGTTTTGTCTGCCAGCGTTATGTGGGGTGGCTGTGTCAATGCCAGAGATGGGTCACAAAGGCAGTGGCTCACAGAGGGCTCTGTGACATGTGCCGACAATCTGCAGTGCCTATTGTGGTAGGTAGTTGCTGTGAACATATGTTTATTGATGGAGAGATCATGTTCATACAGAAGATGTCTGAACTATGTGTATGTGTTGCCTTGAGGATGGCTCCAGCCGTGTTCTTTACCTGGATTCTCTGTCAGATCCTTTCTCAAACCCCTATGTCTTCATCCTCCAGGGTTCTCATGATTGTCCCAATGGGTCAGATGGCAACCTCCCCACAGGCCTCTTGTAATACAACCCAAAGAGACAGGGAGACAAAACATACCACATCAAAGTCACCTCATTTGTAGCACAAAAAAGCACAACCCAGAAGGCCTTTCCTTCCTCAGCAGGGCATCAACACCGATGACAATGCCGAAAGTGGGGATACTGGGTGCTTCTGCCATACTCTACCCCGGCACCACCATCATGATCCAACCAGTGTCTTTAGAGTGACAGTGTGGACACCTCTTGCCTTCAAAGTTAATAGGAGACACAATATTATTGAGTTGCAATGCCTACTGTGGATTATCATTCTTCAAGTACCATTAGCAATGAACAATCAATAAGAATAAATAAACATTCAGTAGTAACCAACATCATAGGAACAATTAACAGTAGCAATGGACAAACAGGGACATCTTAGCATTCTATGAGGACATCTAACGTTGACAGGAGGCAGATGGGGAATGTCAATTACATAGGTCAGTTTTGGGAGCATGTCAGTGTCACAGGTGGGGTTTAAGGGAGTATATTTTACTGCAGAGATTGATTTCATTATAGTGATCTTAATGCAATGGACAATGATCCAAATTACAATAATCACAATTATAATCATTATCAAAGTCTGAAAGGCTAGGTAGCCACCCTGACATGGAAAACCCAAATGCATTTAAAATTCTTCCTAGCCAGTTAGTTACCAGTGGAGCAACAATGTCCCAGAGGTGGAAAACGCTGTCACTTCATTGGTGTGGGATACTGGAATTTCAGGCAAATCAAAAGCAGTAGAACCAGTAAATATACGGTTGAAACCTGCTGCCAGATCAGTAAGGCAGAAACAATATCCTTTGAAGTTAGACACTAGGCAAGGGTTAGAAGAATTAATTGCTAAATTTTTGCAACATGGATTATTAAGGGAACATGAGGCAGAATATAATTCTCCTATCCTACTGCTAAAGAAGCCACATACCAGTGAATACTAGCTAGTGCAAGATCTCAGAGCTATTAATAAAATACTGCAAGACATATACCCAGTAGTAGCAAATCCTTATGAACTTTTAACACAATTAAAGGATCTGATGAGCAGTTCAGTGTTTTGGATCTTATGGATGCTTTCTTCTGCATACCGCTTGAAACTGTAAGTCAACCATTGTTTGCCTTTGAATGGGAAAGCCTGATGGCCTGTAAAACCCAATTAATGTGAACTGTTCTCCCAAAATGGTTAAAAATAGCTCCACTTTGTTTGGGAACCAATTGGCAAATGAATTGGAAATATGGAAAAAGGGGAATGAAGAAATCACTTTGCTGCAGTATTAGATGATATTTTAATTGCTACAGAAACTCAAACTGGATGCATTAAAATGACTGTAAGTTTACTAAACTTTTTTGGATAAGCTGGTTACAGGGTAACCAGCAAGAAGGTCCAGATTGCCAAAAAGCATGTGACATATCTGGGATTCACCATTTCCTGGGTACAGCAAAGCCTCAGAACAAAAAGGAAGGAGCTTTTTTAGCATACTCCTGAAAAAGCTGGCAGCCCATGGCTTGGACAGGAGTACTCTGTGCTGGGTTAGGAACTGGTTGGAGGGCCGGGCCCAGACAGTGGTGGTGAATGGTGCTGCATCCAGCTGGTGGCCAGTCACTAGTGGTGTTCCCCAGGGATCAGTGTTGGGCCCAGTCCTGTTTAATATCTTTATTGATGATTTGGATGAGGGGATTGAGTGTACCATTAGCAAATTTGCAGATTGTCCAAGTTGGCAGGGAGTGTTGATCTGCTGGAGGGCAGGAGGGCTCTTCAGACAAGCTGGAGAGATGGTCTGAATTCAACAGGATGAGGTTTAACAAAGCCAAGTGCCAGGTCCTGCACTTTGGCCACAACTACCCCCTGCAGTGCTACAGGCTGGGCACAGAGCAACTGGAGAGCAGCCAGGTAGAAAGGGACCTGGGAGTTTGGATTGACAGGAAGCTGAACATGAGCCAGCAGTGTGCCCAGGTGGCCAAGAAGGCCAATGGCATCCTGGCCTGGATCAGGAACAGTGTGGCCAGCAGGTCCAAGGAAGTGATTCTTCCCCTGTACTCAGCGCTAGTGAGGCCACACCTCGAGTACTGTGTCCAGTACTGGACCCCTCAGTTCAGGAAGGATATTGAGGTGCTGGAGCAGGTCCAGGGAAGAGCAACAAGGCTGGTGAAGGGACTTGAGCACAAGTCCTATGAGGAGAGGCTGAAGGATCTGGGGTTGTTCAGCCTGAAGAAGAGGAGGCTCAGGGGAGACCTCATCACTCTCTACAACTATCAGAAAGGTGATTGTAGCCAGGTGGGGGTTGGTCTCTTCTCCCAGGCAACCAGCAGTAGGACAAGAGGGCATGATCTTAAACTGTGCCAGGGAAAGTTTAGGTTAGATATTAGGAAAAAATTCTTTATAGAGAGTGTAATCAGACACTGGAATGGGCTGCCCAGGGAGGTGGTGGATTCTCCATCCCTGGAGGTTTTTAAGATGGGACCAGATGTGGCACTTAGTGCTATGATCTAGTAACCATGGTGGCACTGGATCAAGGGCTGGACTTGATGATCTCGGAGGTCTTTTCCAACCCAGTTGATTCTATGATTCTGTGAACTTGCCAAACTCTGGAGCCATGGTCTGTACGTGAGTTAAGAACATTTCTAGGAATAGTGGGTTGGTGTCAGCTATGGATTCCTAATATGGACTGTTGATAAGACCTTTATATGAGGCCCTGAGAAACTCTAAGGAGATACTACAGTGGAGTTCAAAATACCAGATGGCTTTCAGAAACTTAAAGACAGTTCTAATATCAGCCTCTGTGTTGGAATTACCTGATTTGACCAAATCTTTTGAACTCTTTGTACATGAACACTTACACCTTGCATTAGGTGTGCCAGCTCATAGGCTGGGGGCATGGAAAAGGGCCATGGGATACTTTTCCAAAGAATTGGACAATGTAAATAAGGGACTTATAACTGCCTATGAGTTGTAGCAGCAACTGTCTTTTTAATACAAGAAGACCAGCAATTGACCATAGGCCAGAAAATTGCTGTTTATGTTCCACACATGGTTATATCTGTTCTAGAACAAAAGGAGGGGTCACTGGTTATCCCCAAATCAGATACATAAATAAATATCAAGTCGTTCCTGTTGGAACAGGATGATGTAGAACTGAAAATGACTACTGCCCAACTATATTCCTTGAATCTGTACCAGAATGCTAAGAA